GTTGGAGGCCATCGCTTCTAGGTCGGAGGCCACTGCTATTAGGTTGGGATGGTTGGGGATCATCGCTATTAGGTTGGGGATCATCGCTATTAGGTCGGAGGCCATCGCTATTGGGTCGGAGGCCATCGCTTCTAGGTCGGAGGCCATCGTCACCATTTCGGAGCTGCTTTCCGTGAGAGGCATACCATGGCTTCGAGACATGGAAGGGTGCTCGTCACAAGGAGGCCATGGTTGAAACATGAAACGAAATCGATTTCTTGTTACTACTAGTAAGGCGCTTGTTACTAGAAGCGATGCACTTGTTCCTAGTAGCTTCTTGTTTCTACTAGCTTCTTGTTACTAGTAGTAAGGTCCTTGCTCCTTGTAGCGATGCCCTTTGCTCCTAGTAGCTTCTTTGCTCCTTTGTGACTTAGTGGATTGGTGTGTACAATGTGTTCACTGAATGCGGCGAGTTCTGGACTCCTGGTCCACTATGGGGTGGAGTCATTCTGGTAGCATCCTCAAAGAGATAGCTGCTTCAGTGACCTTTATTGGCCGCTTCAGTGACCTGCACAGGTTGGTGTAGGAATCGTTGAAACGCAATGCTGACAACGCTGGCTGGCAGGCACTCACCCCCTGCAAAACGCAAAGACGCTTCTCTGAGTGTATGAGTGGCTTGAGACGAATTAGGTTGCAGTACTCTTCTTCAACGGCGTTGCTCCATACCTAATTCGTCACTTGTCCGCATTGCAGAACACGGGGCTTGAGGGGTTTTTAAAGAGTGCTCAAAAAGCATAATTGCTCTTTGTGTGTTAACATTCTTTGATGTTTCTTCTTACTTGTAGGTTATTGTTGTTCTTTTGGCCTTTAAATATTCAGATCGTCTTTTCCATTCTTTGCTTTGAAGTTTTGTTTTACTTCCTTTCATTGTAGGAGACATTGCTTTTGCTTAGACCATGTTAATTGCCTTCCACCTAAGATCTTCCAAAGTCCTTTGAGAGTTGCAGCTCACATGGCGCATGCTACGGTGCCATCTAAGGCTGCTATGAGCTCCAGCAAAAGGCCAATGCTCCTTGACCACTAAGACTGGCTGGCAAAGGTTTGGAAAAGCAACCAGGGCTTCCTCCTGCGAAATGCTGTGCAAGCGACAAGCTAGTTTTCATGGTGCTTTGCAGACGGCAAGCCCCTCCGGTATGTCTGTTGAATTCTGCTAAAAGTCTATGAGACACTGCGTGTGTGCTTCTTGAACCTATGGATTCTGAGGACGAAGCCAGCAGCTCCGAGAAAAGCCAAGGAAAAATTGTCTCAGACAGTTTGTTTTTGTTTTTCAATATGAGCTGATTCAACTTCATGAGGTTCAGATTGCGCCTATTAAAACCACCCGCAGCCATGAAGGTTTTTATCTAGGCAAGACTCCTTTGTTATGTTTTATTGTGAAAAACAAAAGGTTATCGAATAAGTCATAATAAGTGTATATGCCAGATTTACTCATCGCCTGCAGAAAGGAGCTTGTCAAGGAGTTTTTAGCAAGGCTGCAAGGCTGATTGCATCAAATCCAACTGGGTGTTCTGAATCCTTCCCAGCCTTGCTGCGCATGACTCGGCTACGTGTTCTCACTATCGTGTTCACAGCAGGAAGGCTAGGTCATTTGCAAAAGAATGAACTGATATTTCAAATGCTTAAGAGACTGAACTGAACTATAAACAGGAAATAGTGCGGTAAAACTGGGATGCCTACGATATATAGTGGTCCCTTCTAGCCTTCGCTGTACTTTTCTGGTGGTTGCAAAATACTTGGCAAGGGCAAAAATAAAGCTCGACGATGAAAGCATTGATGCCATGTCAACACAAGGTACTTTGTGGAACCAAAGTGTATCTTCTTGGAGACCAAGTACATCGTTTGCTTGTTGGAGTCAAACACAGATTCCAGAAAAGGGCATGACGCTTTTTCCGCGATCCTATTTTGCCAAAGATACGCCAGTCAGAGGAGGCCGATCACTTCGATAAAACGCCTTGCTCCCATCCGGCTCCGTCCTTCTTCAATCGGAGGTTTGTGAGCAAACCTTTCATCACACCTGAGTTGGCCAAAACAATGTTTTCGATGAAGATCTTCTGGAGGCCCCGCGGAATCTGCCACCACCACTGCAGAACATTTAGAGACGTTTGACAAATGAGACCGGGCCAAGGAAGCAGACCACAGCCCATGAGCTGATATGTCTATCCACATGTTCGCAGCTGTTTGAGTAGAAAAAAAGTTTCAGCAACCTGAAGATGAGGCTGCAAGTTTCATTGTGATCCTGCAAGTGTCAGGGTTCAGGACACTTGTCATTCATTTTTGTGAGTGAGAGATTTGGGATCCAGAAGAGCTTGGGATTTTCAAAGCTCTCTGACCATGTTGAGGAAGCAGGTCATCACAGAATGTCTCTAGTAAGACTCTAAGCGTTTTAGCCTGCTGGTTTGTAGGTTTGTACAGCTCATGTAGGGTTGGTGACTTTCGGCATCTTTCGGCTCACTGGCTACGGGATGCTGTGCAAAGTCGCATGAGTGTCAACGTGTCAACGCTAAGCTGGCAATATTGATACACGGCTTTGCAACTGAGCATGTACTTAGTGACAAAACCACAAAAAGTGCACCTTCGCTGATGAAGCACTTGTCCAATGGAAAACACATACAGGATTTAGTTGAAACGTTGAAGCATGCTTTGATTGTGAACCCGTTGGTTGAATAGACTTATGGCACTTATGGCCAACAAACCCATCGTGAACCACTCTAAATCGTTCGCCTGTTTGCCGACATGGGATGTGCAGAGCACGCCGCTGGGACCCGATTCCACCCCGTCGCTCGCTCTTTTGCTCTGAGGTTGGAGGCCATTCGTTCTAGGCGTTCTATTTCTGATCCGTGAAGGCGTTCTTAGGCCTCGCGTCATCGACCGAGGTGCTTCAACAAACCATCATAGAGTAGGCGTCTAGGTGCTTCACCTCACAGCCGATCTGACCTGCGTTGTCTCCCTCACGTATACACAAGCTCCCCAGTGTATACCTTCCACGCGCCCAACCACTCAGGTGACCTCCAGGCGCCGATTTTTCGCGCGTACCCTTGCAGTCTTGACGTCCTGCCTGGATCTGAGAACTGTCAGGTGACGGGAAACATGTTGAAAAGAGCTGACATGATGGACGCGTTCCAACATTACACACACGACTCTTCAATCACTGACGCTACTAGGTTGGAGGCCATCGCTACTAGGGTGGAGGCCATTGCCAATATAGGTTAGTTTTCCCCCAACAAAAAATCACGACTGTTCAATCACTTAATCCCTTTTGCGACGTTGACTTAGGCAGACTCACATGGGTCTTTGCGTATGCAGGCAGAGGGATCAGTCCCTTGAAGTCTGACATAGAAGTGCAAGCCTCAAAGACATCAGTTGTTCCCACGTTCTTGATTGAAAGATTTCGATTGACTCAAAAGGTATGATTATCCAACACTTGCATTTGCACCAATCGCAATCAAGCCTGGGCCGCCTGGCAACCTTACTTGGATTTGGTGTGTCCGATCTTGTTTGCCGGCCTACTTTGAGGTGCTTGGCGTCTTGAGGGGCCGACTAGTCATTGGCTTTCACCCCCGTTTGGAGGTGGGTTCGCAGAAGCGTAAAGCACAAAGCTCCAAAACGTACCTCTTTTGAACTCTTGCTATTTCACTTTGTAGGAGTTTGTTCTAAATTGTCTTCAGTTTTGGTATGGTGAGTCACGACAAGGATCGTGCCTGGATATATAGAAGCCAGGCAACCACCATGTATTTGAGTTGCTTGTTGTTGTTGAAGATCATCGGAGTGTATACATGAGAGATTGGATGTTACATTTTGTGCCATGTAGTGAGGCTGTCAACGTGTTTGCAAACCAGACCAAGTTGAAGCCTCTCAAGGACAACAAATGGCTAGAGCAGGACTGCAGAGCAGGCAGAGCATTGCGCATTTTGCATGTGATTTATATGGAGTGTTTCTTGATCTCATCAAAATGTTGATTATGTACGCAGTTTATCATAGAAAGATGCCCTGGCCACTCCGCATGTTTTGTGTGGATGTTTTGATCGTTTGTTGAACTCAAATCAAACATGCATTTGTTCCATTTTAGCTAGAGTGTTGGGCGGGAGGCTTCCCCTTTGCTTTATTCGTCGACCCACCACCCCCCCCAACACCACCAGGAGCTCCTAGCAGCGTCCTTGCTCCTAGTAGTGATGCCATTTGTTCCTAGTAGCGTCCTTGCTCCTAGTAGTTAGGCCAGGAGCTCCTAGTAGCTTTTGCTCCTAGTAGCGATGCCAGGGGCCCCTAGTAGCGTCCTTGCACCTTCGATGCCAAAGCCTTGTCCATTTGTATAGAGTAAATATAATGTTTGGATGTCAATCTTGTGATGGCGCAGGAGCGGCGGTATGGGGAACGAGATTGCAAGCCAGAGACTTGAACATGTTTCCCCCAATGCTTGACCGACTTTGCATCAACATCGTCAAGCAATGGAGGTTGAGCTGTGAAGTCGTGATGAAACGTGGATGGTGTTTACAACACTTTGCAGGTATGCTGAGTTTGCAATACCTCCACTACCAGCAGAGATCAACGTTCTTGGCCTGGACCTTTCTCAGATATGGACCCTTCTCGGTGACATGTTTGCCTTCTTGGTCAGGTCGAGCTGTGGGTGGACGACTCGTGCTAAACGTACCTTGGTGAAAGACTTGCTCCTAGTAGCGTCCTTGCTCCTAGTAGCGATGCCAGGAGCCCCTAGTAGCATCCTTGCTCCTAGTAGTATATAAGGCCCTTTGTTACTAGTAGCGATATTCAAACTTGACATATTCTCCTTTCATCGTCCCTCAAGAGCAGCTTTTCGTTTCCGTCGTTATTCACCATGAACTGCTTTGAACGTAGCTTCAACGACTTTCCAGGTCACGGACATCCTACCAGAGGAAACAGTGCCAAGTGCAGCCATGTGGAATGAGTCAGTCTCCCAGACGACATCCGTTTGGTGACTCCGTTTGTGACTGCATACTAGTAACAAAGGGCATCGCAACTAGGAGCAAGGATGCTACTAGTAGCTCCTGGCCTTAGTACTAGGAACAAGAAGCTACTAGTAACAAAGGGCTTGGCAACTAGGAGCGAAGCCACTAGTAGCTCCTGGCATTTCTACTAGGAGCAAGGACGCTACGAACGTAACAAAAGGGCATCGCTACTAGTTAAGCTACTAGTAGCTTCGTTTGTCTAGAAGATGGGACATTGCCTCATCGCACGGCTCATTTGTCGTGAGATGCTGTGAGGCGGTTTATGCGCCAAAAGCCGATCGCACGAAGACCAAGGCTTCAGGCAGATGGACAATGTATGACAATCTAATAGCGTCCTTGCTCCTAGTAGTAAGGCCAGGAGCCCGATCGTAGCGTCCTTGCTCCTAGTAGCGATGCCAGGAGCCCCTAGTAGCTTCTTGTTACTACTAGTGATGGCCTCCAACCTAATAGCAAAAGGAATCTAATAGAAACAATCAAAAGGGACCCATGAAAAGGGACCCATGAAAAGGTACCCATGATGAGCTTCCTGTGGTTTCTGACATGTTTCTTTTTGGCGTTTTGTCCAGTGCTCGAAGGAGGGACGGAGGATGATCCGAGGACTTCAAGACAGGCCAGTAGAGCTTGACAGCCAGAGAAACTTGAAGAGTCAAACTTCTTGAAGCTGCTCGCCTAGCACAGGATGTAGTGCTGTGAAGAAAGATCTTAACAAAACACCACGCTTTGACCAATCTGCCGCCAGTGGCTGGTCGTGAGCCACAGCGCCTTGACGTGCCGCGTTGCGGGAAAAGTATCGCGGTGCAGTCGTTCAGAGCCAGGCGGAGCAAGGCGGTCTTGTTTTGCTTAAACTGCTCTGAGGCCCAAATCAGCACATTCAGGAAAAAACACATGATGTTTCTTTTTCTTGGTGGGGTTGTTTCAGTCTACTGTTTTGCACAAAGCAAGACTTCAAAAACACATAGCAGACCAATATGATGAAATACGGCACTGAAATCACTGGTGAATGCATGTGTTGAGGCGAAGCATGCAAGGAACGCTAACACCATTTGCTTGACCAAATGCTTGAGAGGGATGTCACGGGAATAGCACCAGCATGCACTAGAGTGGAAATCATTGGTACCGATGTGGCGCAGAGGGCTGGTCATCCCAGGCGCAGAGCGCAGTGTGCTCTCGGTCGTGTGTTCAAAGTGGGGAGAACTAGGGAGGCTATGGGCAGTGTGAGAAGAATGTGGGCAGCCGTGTGTTACGAACAGAGGAATGTTAGACCGAGACACAGCGAGACCCTAGGCCCTAGACCATGAACTGGTGTCACGCCAGACTTTGTCCCCTCGCCAATGACACAAACTGCGAAGGTCAGCTGCGGACGTGGCGAGCGAGCAATTTGTTCGCCAGGCCTCTTTTTTGGTGTTCTTTAGACGTTAGATGTATTATACCTTTAGAATCCCGTTTTGCTCAGTTTATTTTCAATCAGGATATTTAATGAGTCCAAACAAGCTTGTTTTAATGGGCGGGTTTTGGACCTAGCCACCATTGATTGCTAGTTCCTATTTTCCGTTATAGCCATAGTCTTTGTCTTTGAATTCCTTTAAATGTAGACCATTCCTTTTCCTTTCTTCAACCTTCTTTTCTTTCTTCCTTGAAAACACTACTAGAAAGTGCCAAGGGACACCCTTGCTTCCTAGGTATGCTAGCAGTGAGTCCAGAGGACTTGCCAGCCGACGCACTGCAGTTGTTGCTGCGTGTGTCCTCAGTACAATGCGACTCTTTTTGTTTTTTGGCTAGTGTACTAGTGTAGGCGCAGTGTAGGACACACTGTAGCAAACCTTGTGGCAGCATGTGGTGGCTAGATTGTTGACAGATGTAGCATACCTTTGGCTGGAAATCAGGTAGGGTGTCTCGCTGCCGTATCTGCAGGGGCTCGGGACTTTCCGAGGAAACGCAAGTTCAATGTGATGGCATATGATGGCATGGATTGAATCTGATTGGATTTTGATCTGAGGCTGTCTACGATTTGACATCTCAGTGGCTCTCACAGCATCCCTGGCCAGCTTTTGAGGCCGTTCGCTTGCGTTATGTCAAAGCTTCATGTGTGGATGAACAGGAAAGATGATGAGGAATGGATAGAGGCTGGGTCCGGCTGGGAAGCTGATGGAAGCTGATAAAACTTGGGACCAATAGCTGTTCAGAGTAGCTGGTCGGAGTTCTGGCTAAAGAGTCCACGACGTTTTGGTGAACCAATTCAAGCAACTTCGGACATTGATTGGATCAAACCACCTCGTCCACAGAGAGCTAATTAGCATTAATTAGCCAAGTTCCGTAGCACGATCCACCCAGGGTTCCCCAAATTTGGAATCGTGACCGAGTGGCAGATTCTAACTGGTGGAAGATTGACCAATTGCAGATATCACCTGTTGGGAAGAGATCTCCCACCAAACTTCATGTTTGTTCTTGATGCTTGTGACGACGATACTGCCACCAATCCTAATCAATCTGGGAGACACAAACACCTAGTGCATAGAATCTATGGAATTCATTGATGTTTTGCGGCCCCTGGATGAATTGGAAACGTGTAACTGTAAAAGGGTCTGGCAGCTGCTTTCAGGATTGGGAAGAGCGGCTTGCAGAGCAGCAAAGTTCTTCCGGAGAGTTTGGAGCTGTTTCGGTGTGGACCACAACAAATAACACACTCTTTGCACCTCTACCAAATGGTCAGATAATGGTTTGTCTCGGTCGTTTCGTGAGAAGCAAGGTTTTGGGCATGGAGCTGCGACAAGGAAACCACAAAGATGTTGGTCCTTGTCCCAGAGATCCAAATCTTGCGGCTATTCTCTCTTAATCGGCATAAAAAGGCCTGAAGGTCTAAAGAGGAAAGACAGTGTTTTCTTGTTAGTAGCAAGAATGCTACTGGTTGCTAGTAGTAATGCCCTTTGTTCCTAGTAGCGATGCCCTTGCTCCTAGTAGCTTCTTTGTTTCAACTTTGAACCCCAGAATTCACAGATCCAGGCACTCGCCATTTGGTTTTCGTTCGACATGCGCAACCAGGACACGGAGAGCTTGGCCTCAAAGTGCCGAGTTTTGTTTGTGTTTCATCTTCTTGAACTAACATTTGTAGCGATGCACTACTGGTAGCATCCTTGCTTCCTAGTAGCTACTGTAACCTCTTGCCCATGCTTTTGACCTCTTGAATTTGTGAGCCCAAGCCTGTGACAAAATTCAGCTCGAGGCCTTTGTCGGACGTCGGCCTTCAACAGGCAGAGTTGCTCGCGCAGAGGTCAGAGAAGCTCAGTCGAGAGCAATCCAGAGCCGAGAGCGGCCGAGAGCAGTCTCAGTCGAGATCTGTGCCAGGCTCTCGGTGCAGACTAGTGATGCGAAGTACAAGGAGCTCTCGGGGCTTTGAGTTGCAAGCCTTTGCAACAGCTTAAGATAATTAGGTTTTCAACAGTGGTCCAACTATTCTTTGTAAATGCATGTGTTGCAAGAGAACAAGAACGCTACTAGTACTAGGGGCTCCTGGCACCGCTACTAGGAGCAAGGACGCTACTAGGGGCTCCTGGCCTTACTACTAGGAACAAGAACGCAACTAGGAACAAAGGGCATCGCTACGAACGGAGCAACAGTTCCCACGGAGTGCTCCACGGCTCCTCTTAGTAGCGATGCCAGGAGCCCCTAGTAGCGTTCTTGTTCCTAACTTGGATTTTGCCATACGGTATTTTGCTTGGTATTGCGCCTCACTGTCCAAAGCTGATGTGTTCAACGCCTGAAGCACGCCTTTGGGTGGGATTTGTTTTGGTACTCTTTTGCACTGGCTTAGTGCAGGTCGTTTTCCACTCGCCAGCACCAGAAGCAAAGGCAACTGCAAAGATCTTGAAGCAATGCTTTGGGAAGGCCACTGATGCGATATGATGCGATGAAAGCTTTTTGGAAAGCTTCTAATTCTTGTTACTAATAGCTTCTTGCTCCTAGTAGTAAGGCCAGGAGCTACTAGTAGCGTCCTTGCTCCTAGTAGCGATTCCCTTTGTTACTAGTAGCGTTCTTGCTCCTACAGCAAGATCCACAGGGCATGAGCAAGACTTTCTCGATCGAGCATTGAGCAGGTCAAGATGAAGGAGTCATCGCTTCTTGCCGAAGATGTTCCAATGGTCCGGTTTCCAGATGTCCGGTTTTGAGAACGGACACAACCAGAACTCAAGTTCTTTTCTTCCAATTCTGCACGGTTCTAACAAAAACACTAACATTGTTCCAAACAGACCTGTTTGATTTGTTTTGTTGGTTTGCCTTCCTTCCTCTCGGCCCTTCATCTCGAGGTGCCAAGTCCAGCTCCCGCAACTTGGAGGGGAGCTGCAAGGGACGAGCAAAGACACAGAATTGCCGAAAGCATACTAGTAGCGTCCTTACTCCTAGTAGCGATGCCCTTCGCTCCTAGTAGCGTCCTTGCTCCTAG